AAGAAGATGGTTAGGAAACACGTTCAGAATCCACTCTGCAGACTTAACTCTTGCCACAGGTGGTTCTAAGATCAAGATGTAAGAAAGAGTATAGCATTCCCACCCTGAGCCGGGCTCTCAGTCACATGCTCTAAGTAAACTTTTCTGGAGCCACATACTTAAAAGTTATTACTTACTCATTAATAATGTAGAGATTTTCCTCTTCATCTGGCTCCTGTGTGCTCTTCATGGAGTAAAACCGACAGAGAAGTTACCAAGTAGGGACCACCCCAGCTGGGAAGAAATGTGCTAACCATAGGCTGAGAATGAAGTTCCAAAAGCAGTCTATACTAACTGTTATTAATAGGAAGACCATCAGTTATTCCACAAAGCTCACACCACCAGGTGAGTACCATTATTCTAAAACAATGCCATAATGATAGGAAATCAGCAATCAATACAAAAATACCCACAAACCTCAAATATTTGGACAAGAACATTTTGAAAACATTATTTACTTAATTATAATAATAAATAATAAAATAATATTGACTTCTTTTCTGCAGACTAAAATAAGTAAAATTAAAGCAGTATAACATGCTGCATTTTATAACATATGGGTGGTGGAGGCAGTAATGATTAATGACTCTAGCAATTTCAATGATCTTGAGCTTAAGAAAAGGAAGGTTTTCCTCACTGCTCTTCCAGGCAATGGATTTAGGAAAATAAGCGAATGTCCAATTTTAAGTGTCCTTACTTAGACCCACAGGTAACCAAACACAATGACAACCTGCCACTTCTGCCTCCATTTTGTCGGCTCTTTCTCTTTGACCCTGCATGGTCATGAAAATCACTAGTGTGACTGTCTATGTAATCTGTGTCTTCCATTTTAGGCTGAAGGCACAGTGTGGTAAACCCACAGACGTCTTTGATGCCAGGAACAGACCACTCCAAGATGAAAATTATCTATGGTAGGCAGACTGCATGCTCCAGCAGATCAGAGTCACAGAATGGGTTCTCTTAGGGATGACATGATTGACAGTTTAACAATTTACTGGACCACCATGCAGGACCTGAGCTGAGACAATGGTGGGCAAAACCACACCATGACCAAGACTGCTTACCTACAGGTACTTCTTGCTACTGCCCCTACTCTTCCTCTGTCTAAATCTAAAGTTTCTATCAGTAAAAGGAAGATGAACTCATGGTCCTGGAATCCCTTTCTATCTCCTTTTTCCCAACATGTGGATGAAATCTTCTCCCTCTGCTTTTCACCTATACTCGCCTCTGTAATTAGCGTCTAGGGATGCAAGGCCTGGTTAGCTTGGTGGGACTGCTGGCAGGAGGCAGGATTTCTGTCCTCCACCTCTGGTTACTCAGTCTCCCACAGGTAAAACATACTGCTTCATAGCACTTTGTAGCTAAACTGCTTTATAACTGGAATCCTCATAAAAGAGAGCCACTTTTTCAAAATCAAAGTTTAAGGTCTGTTTTCTTTGTTTATAGTGTTTCTTGGATTGACACATTTATTAAGTATGATAGATAATATAATAACAAAAAAATGGAACTGAGTCTAAGCAAAAGAGTTTTTTTCCTATAAAATAACCCTCAGAATGTGGATATTTCACTTGACCAGTTTTTATTTGATTCTTGGAAAATCTGAACATGAGTTTTTAAATGGCTGCACGATGAAAATATTCCTTCCCTAGAGAGCCCACCCAAGGTTACTGACCAAGGTTACATGGGCTCTGTGCATAAGGTATCAATACTGGACACTCAACTGTACTGTAAGCTGTCTAAAGGCTGAGGGGCGAACATGAGCACAGCATGAGTGGGGCAGAGAGTGGAGAGGGGTAGAAAGAGGAGAGTGGACACTGAGACTCTGCAAGCTCTGCACGGATGCAAAGCTTGAGAGTAAATGGCACTACTGGAAAAGTCAGAACAAGATAGGAAGTTTAAGGACCCCACACGATAGTTTTGACACCAAACTCCTGAAAGCAAGGCCAGATGTCTTTTGGGAAAAAAAGGGGAACCCCATGGCCAGCAGATCTGAGCTACTTGGAAGATTCACACGGTAGACACTTGCAATGCTTCCTTCAGAATATCTGCATAGCGGTCAAGGGCAGGTGGAAAGTGAAGTGCACACACCGTGTCAAGGGATGTGCTAGAGAGAGGTGACTGACCTGTGGTGGGAAATACCTAAAAAGGCATCACAAGAATGGGTGGTGGAGATTGAAAGCAAAGTGCCACAGACAGCTTTGGCACATGAAGTATATTAGTCTTAAGGATGAGTCCAAGAAAATAAAATGAAAGGAAGTGTAGTTCGAACTCTAAACCACCTGGCAAAGAGACCCCTAACTAAGGGCCGAAAAAGACTACAATGCAGAGAGCTGGGCACATCCACCAAATGGTTCAAGCGGTCAAGCACTGGCTCCACCCTCAGGTCCCACAGCTGGCCCAGAGCCCGAGGAATGCAACATTCTTCTGGGGAGATACTTTACTTAAAACAAGAGTAAAAATCAGAAGCCACCAAGAAGCGCTAAGGACAGAAAGACTTTAAATCCTGGTTGCCAGTACAGGAAAAAGCTGAAGGTCTATGAAATGCTCAGAAGCAATGGGCATCTTAAATCCCAGGTTGTATCTTGAGACAACAAATATCAAAAAGCCATTAGCAACTTGTTAAATATTGCTATTTTTTAAGAATTTGTGAGGGTTTTTCTTGGGGAGAAGGTGTTCCTTTGTCACATAACATTTGATTTCTCAAAATCCTATAGCAAGAGAATGAACTGCTTATGGAAACCCTTTGAAAACATGGTGGAGGCCATAAAAACATTTTAGGTTCATAAAAATAAGCAATTAAAACTGTCTGTTAAATTAAGGCAGTATCAATAACATTTTCCACATTGGATGACAGTGTAGGCTGTTGCTAGTTCCTGCTGCTGACCTTTGTGTTGCAAAAAACCTTTTGGAATCCTGCTGCGGCCCGCACAGCCAGAGCATGAAATCTGGCGAGGGACGCCGAGGTTAAACAGCACTCTAGACACCCAGTTTCAGTTCGTCAGGGAAGCATTTCTCTTTATTCGTACCAACATGGGTTTATATACCTCTCTAACAGCAGGAGTCAAGGAATGGTTACTCTGTATCCGCAGGTAAGCAGACACTGTTTTTCAAACAGGAAAAACCACAGGGGAACTGATCCCCAGCACCCTCCGGAACCCAACTGCACATTTTTCACACCAACAACTTAACTGGGACAGGACAAAAAAGGGCATTTAAAATTAAGGCAGTAAACTTATTGCTGCTGACAGAATCCTTTTTCACACAACTGCACAACTCACCAACATTGTCAATAACAGTAGGATGAACATAGGTGTGCTTTGCTTGCAGACAACATGCTTTGATGAATTTATATGTCAACTAGTGAAGCTGTAGTACTACGTGAATGAACCAAACACTACCCTTGATATTCTGCACAGTATGTCACTTTAAGTCAAAAACGATTACCCACCTCCATATGTGGGACACTCACTCTACAGGTCCATTGTTTTAAGAGAAGAATATCAGGTTTCCAAAGCAGATCTGCCTAAAGACAAGCACTAGCCTTCCTTCAAGTCCCCAGCCTGTGAGTCTCACCTTCTGTTAGTTACTTTCTATTGTTGTGATGTAACACCATGACCAAGGCAACTGACTAAGGGTTTAGGAGGGCTTGCAGTTCCAGAGGGAAAAGAGTCTGCCCATCATGGCAGGGAATTGGGGCAGGAGATGGCAGACATGGTAACAGGAACAACTGAGAGCTCACATCTTGTACAACAAGTGGGAAGCAGAGAGTCAACAGGAAATAGTACATGGCTTTGAAACCTCAAATTCCACCCCACGTGACACACTTCCTCCAGCAAGGCCACACCTCCTAAACCTACTTAAGCAGTGGCACCAACTGGGAACCAAGCCTTCAAACATCTGATCCAATGGGGGTCATTCTCATTCAAACACCACAACACCTACACATTTCCGTTCCCACAACTGCATGGTTGAAACACATCTCTCTTTATATGTTCCAAGTCAGCTTTAGATGCATGAGATCCTATCTCAAAAGCAAACCAATACAAAACAAAAACACATTTTCTGACTAACAGCCTCTACCTTTCAACCCATCTACACATGCCTTAGCTCTTGCCCACCTAAAAGAATTCTTGCTGCTGAGGTCTTCCAATTGCCCTTTCAACTATCTCCAAGCCTCTGCTTCCCTAGTTCTGATCCTTAGGCCCTTCTTCTAATAACTAGAAGACAAAAAGTAATTGAAACTAGTATATGAAATTTGCATGATAAATAAAACACACACTCACATATGCAAATCCCACAGAAGAGAAACCTCCTATGGTAAAGACAGTTTACAACATCCTAGTTCTTTACATGCGCATCCTAAAGGTAAGTATAGCTTAAGTGTGAAGTGTGGACTGAACAGGAATGCAAAGTCACTTCCATACAGTTAGAACTGCAATAGGGAAATAAAGACTAAAAGTAAAGCACAATTTCATTTACAAAATCCAATTCTAAATTCAGTGCACGTTTACTTTGAAATCTAAACACCTTTAACCATAAAAAATATCGTTTCTGGTGACAATAGTTAAATTTTGGAGCTCTAAAAGAATTGTCTAGTAGACTATTGCAGCAGTCTAATATTTTTAATGCTGACCTTCAAAACAAAGACATTCCAAGTCTGGAAAGATGGTTCCATGACTAAGAGCCCATGCTGCACTGCCAGGGGTCAGGCTGTTTATAACCATGTGTAACTCTGGCTCCAGGGGATCTAACATCCTCTTCTGAAGTCTACAGCCACCTGCACTCACATGTACACACACACACACACACACACACACACACACACACACACACACACAAAGACATTTCAGTACCTAAAACTCAGCTGGGAGCAGTATTGATTCAATGGCCTTACTTCACTATCATACTATAGTATCATACAAAAAGGAACACATCTCTGATGTTTAACAGCTGTACCTTACCTCCCACATGAGTCGGTAGTCCATATTTTCATCCAAGTCTTCAGGCATTCGCTTCTCTCCAGCAAAGGGTCCAAATTTTTCACCCTACATAGCAATAATTATGTTGAAAAGGCATCAATGTAATAATCAGCTACTAAAATAAACTAGTTTATCTTTTGGAATCTTTTTAAATCACATCTTCATTTTTTAAAATATTAACTATTAATACAAAAGGCAAAATTAATACAAAATGTTTCCATGTTTTTTTAATCCATATTAGTCTGTTTTAGTCTAAAAGCTTCAACCCACAACACAGAAGCCAACATAAAAGGGTTAAACTGCTCCACTTTCAAATTCTGACAAGCTCTGAAGACCACGCTCTATGCTTCCATCTTCCTCACAGCCTCCGGCAGGGGGGTTAAAATGAAAAGCATGAGTTTTGCCCGACTTGAGAGACAAGCCCACCAGCCAGAACATCACCTGGTTTCCATAAAGATCATAAATCCATCCCTATTTTGCACAAGAAAGAAGTATGCTTACCGTTCTCAGAAAAAGGCAGTTCATAAATAAAATTTAAATTTGCCTGCCAATCTTTCCAGCAGCCTGGTGGTCATACTTTACGTAGGGAGTCTCAAAATGTGTGCTTTGAAGCACATAAGAATCATCAGGGCTGTTGTTTCGAGTACTGAATACTATACTTTGTTAAAAATCAGTATCTGGGAATCGAGTGTAGGGGACAGAATTCTGACAGGTATCTTGGTGAGAAGCACAGGGAAAGGCCCTGTAAACCATGAGCAAAAGATCAAGTGGGTAAAGATGATTCCCTGGTCTATCAACTGTGAGGTGCGGACTCTGAGTGTGTCAATTGTGAGGTGTAGATTCTGAGTGTATTAACTGTTAGGTGTAGACTCTGAGTGTGTCAACTGTGAGGTGTAGACTCTGAGTGTGTCAGCTGTTAGGTGTGGAGTCTGAGTGTGTGAATTGTGAGGTGTAGATTCTGAGTGTGTTAACTGTTAGGTGTAGGCTCTGAGTGTGTCAACTGTGAGGTATAGACTCTGAGACTGTCAACTGTGAGGTGCAGACTCTGAGTGTGTAACTGTGAAGTGTAGACTTTGCTGTGTCAGTTGTGAGGCATTTTCTCTAAATGTGTGGGTACTTATGAAGCTATATGTAATAGGAAAGGGACAATTCTATTTATTCATGCGTGTGCATGTGTTTTGAGATGTGGCCTCATGTACCCAAAGCTGGTTTCCAACTCCACATATCTATTTATTCATGTTTGTGTATGTGTGTGTTGAGGCATGGTCTCATGTTCTCCAGGCTGGTCTCCAACAACTCTATGTCCGCTTGTTTATGTTTGTGTGTTTTGAACTGTGGTCCTGCATACCCCAGGCTGGCCTTCATCTCCACATGTAGCTGAAGATGAGGCTGAGCTGAGGCTCTTAACCTCTTTCTCTGACACTCTTGTAGTGGAGTTACACATGTGGGCCTCCAAATCAACTTTTAGACCAGTGCAAAGGACTTCACCTGGGTTTCATCCACAGTACACCCCTAGCCCTGGTACTTGTATCAAAGCAGAGCCTGAGGAGACAGCACTAATGGGTTCCATTTATCAGAAATTCTGTGTCTGGATATGCAGAGAGCCAACAGTCACTCAAGCTGTGGTAGGCTTTCTTCCAATCTACCTGAAAATATTTTCTAGGAGCACCTTCCCTTTGTCAAGAGTAGAGATATGTAAAAGGATCAAAACCAAAAGGAAGATTATTGATTAATTTTGCTAATGGGAAAAATAACTACAACTCAAACGTCTAAAGAAATAGAAATTATTTAATAAGCAATAAAAAGCTGGGAATAGTAAAACAACACAGCTAAGAAGAACTACAATGACAAACCCAGCCCTCAACTTACAGATGAAGAAGAGATGTCTTTGGGAGCCGTAAACAGTGACAGAGCCCTTTAAAGTTTCATTTACTTATTTACTTACTTACTTTACACACACATGTGCGCACCACAAGATGCAAGTGGAGGTCAGAACACTACTTTTCTTCTATCATGTGGGTCCCGAGGACTGAACTCAGATTATCAAACCTGGCACCAAGAACCCTTTCCCACTATACTGTGTCATCAGTACAAGACTGTTCCTTCAATGTTTACCTTAGGATGAAAAACATATACAGAGTTTTCAAATCTAGTATTCTAAATAACCTTTAAAAAGACTGAGGAAGCTCAGAGACTGCTGAATGCAGCAGCCCAAAGGTCCTAATCTGATCCTTGAAGAACACATTTTGGAGATGTAGAAGTCTGTGCATTCCTTCTGGTTCACTTCATGCTGAAATGAGACACTCCACCTCAGGTACCCTTTAGACAGACACATAACTCCAAAAATGTTTTCCTCAAAAACTAACCATTCCTCTGGCCAGGCATGATGGTGCTTGTCTGTTATCTGAGCACTGGCTCTCAGGAGACAAAGGAAGGAGGAATGCCCCAAGTTTAAGTCCAGCCTTGGTTTACACACTGAGCTACAAACCAACCAGACTATATAGCAAGATTGTGTCTCAAGATGAAACCAAACCAGTGTTTGATGACAGGCAAACAAACACTTCAGAAGAAATAAGACCTGTGTGAGGGAATGAACACTAGCAAAGCTGAGTGGAAACTCCCCTCTGGAAAAGATACAAACACCAAGACTTAGACTTTAAGTAGCATGATTACACTCGACTGTAGTTGGAGGTTTCTCCAGTCCCACCAGGCCCCTGCAGTCCCATGGTCTGCTTATAAAATAATCACTCAGAAACTGATATTAACTATAACTACTTGGCCATTAGCTCAGGCTTATTACTGACTAGCTCTTACACTTAAATTAATCCATAATTCTTATCTATGTTTAGCCACATGGCTTAGTACCTTTTCTCAGTTCTGCCTTGACATCTTGCTTCCTTTGTGTCAGCTGGTGACTCCTGACTGAGCCCTTCCTCTTCCCAGAATTCTCCTCATCTGCTCACCCCACCTATACTTCCTGCCTGGCTACTGGCCAATCAGCATTTTATTTATCAACCAATCAGAGCAACACATATTCACAGCATACAGAACAACATCTCACAGCACTCTATTAGCTAATAAAAGCCAAAGGCATCTGCAGAGAGCCCCAACATTGGCTACTCCATCACCCACTGCCCAGCAGGTCTGCAAGGTCCTGCCTCCTCAAAGCAGACACTCAGTACTCAAGACTGTTGAGTTGAAGAACCTGGGTATCACAAGGTTAAGACCAACCTAAAAACAGATGGAAATATAAGGTGCTTTTGTAACAAATTTTAGGATATGTCATTAGTGGGTAGGGTCAACTTTCAGGCCACTCTATCATGTATTTAACCTTTATAAAATTTTGCAAAAAGTAATGTGAACTCAAGCCCCCAGGAAAGTAAAAGCCAATCCTTTATTAATGGCTCTACAAGGCTGCATGATTGATTAGAACTTCCTGAAGGTGGAGAGCTGGAATGCCATAGCTCTAGAGCCAAATTATCTTGCACTGTCTTTAGCTCCCTCAATACCCACACCTTGCCCACCTCTGCATCTAACCTAACATCCATATGACAATCAAGTGAAACTGTTTGAATGTATTTACTCTGCAGATGACTAGCTTCCACTAACCCAGAACATAAATGTCATCAGCATCTGAGTCTATAGCAGAAGGTTCCACCTTGCTGTAACTGGCCCATCTGATGTTCCCACCAATGAACTGGAAAAGCTTCTTGGCTTATGCCTTTATTCTGTTGTATAATGACAAAATCCTCATCAAACTCATTTCACAATGGAATGCACATGCTATCTTAGGCAACCTGAATCTGCTCCTGAAAGCTCTCAGCATATACTCTCAGTACCATGGGTCCACACAAGCCAATCAATTAGTTCCTCTTCCCAGTACAGGTGAAAAGGAAAATAACAATTTGTTCATTTAATTATGTGCAAAGGACTGAGGAAGGGATGAGAAACCAAATAAATACACTGGGATGAGGGTAAACAGAAACTTCAGGATGCAGGTTGCTAAGATTCTATAGTTTAGATTTCCAATGGTCTCCAAGTGTTCTCATAAGAAAGGCTTGGTCTCCAGTATCACAGTAAAGAAAACTTTAAGAAAGATGGTACCCCTTGAAAGGTCTTTGCATTATTTGAGTGTGTCCTTGAAGACTCCTCCCTTTGGCATTCTGGCCATATGGCCTGCAATGTGATGAGTGGTCATGGCCCCAGAAGGAAGCCAACTAACAGTGACTAGTCTCTTTAAACTGTTGGTTCAAATGTACCTTTTCACAAGCACTCTAGTGAGTTCATCATAGTGATTAGACAAGCAAGTGTGTTAGCTGTAAGATTATGAAAACGTGCAGCAGCATCTCTGAACTGTCTATCTTTATGGTAGAAATGCTGCAGATATTTACAATAGAACATTTGGCTTTAGATGTAGTCTGCTCTCTCTGCAACTGCTCTCACTCTGAACAGAACCCTCAGTCAAGGCTCTACGGAACGTCCCACTCTTCTGCAGCCTGTATTCACTGCTGTTTCCACTATACAAACAGCATTTCCTTAAAACTGATTTTTCAGTCACTAACCACTTCCTGTGGAGTCTAACTTAAGTAGAAGCCTTTCCAACATCTGAGGCTTTAAATCAGGTTGAAAGCTTACTTACAAAAGAAAAATCAAGGGCACAAAACACACAGATGTAATTGTTTTTCCTTTGAGTTAAATCCCATGAAATTGCCAACATTGGACCATTTTCAACCTACAAAAAAAAGACCATTTTCATACGACTCATCACAAGTCAATTATGCAAATGTGTATCATTATTGTAAACATTTACAGTTAATAATTAATGATATGAAAGGGATTCCCATATTTCAAGCAGTCATCTTAAAGCCTTCAAAACATTTTTAACAAACTTGGTCATCATTGGTTTTAGTTTTCAAATTAGAAGGCCTACAGATCTCATTTAGAGCAGAAATGCTATTCATCTACCATTTTATTTCCTTTGTTTTTTCCAGTCTTAGAGACAAAACTTGGAAAATCTTAAGTTCTGGTGCCAGGAGAGTTGATGTCTGAGCTGGATCCCCACCACT